GCGAAAAATTTGTAAACCGAAATGCAGTTAACCAATTAATCTGTTCCTAAGGTCAGTAAAAAGTAAAGGCTACTAAAATACTGCATGAGTTATTTTATTTTGACAACTAGGGATGCACCAGAATTTCAGTGGCCAAAACGTTTTGTGCGAAAACACCCCTTTCTACCGTTGGCCAAAGTGCAAAAAATCACCGATATAGGTGCCGGAAAAAAAAAAAAAGCCCCTCGCCACCGCCCGCCCCTTGCTGCTGCCCGCCATCACCGCCCCTCGGCTGCCGCTCGGTAATTCTCAGCCTTACCTGAAAAAACCATCGATCCCGGCGCTGGGCATAGAGATGAGTGAAGGAAAGATGGCCACCACTCATCTCTATTCCCTTGGAAGACTGGAGCGATGTCACTTCCCGTTCCGGCCATTTTTTTTTTAAAGCACTAGATCAATGCTTTTTTTTTGATCCAATGCTTTACCTTGTAGAGGAGAGATGTGGGGTCTTATCTCTCCATAAAGAGGACCTGTCACTAATTATTTATATCACAAGGGATGCATGCATTTCTTGTGATAAGAATAAAAGTGATTTAAAAATTTTTTAAAGGGACATTGCAAAAAAAAAAAAAAAAATTAAATTAATTTTTTTTTTAAAAAATGTAAAGTGTCGCCGCCCCCCCCGTGCTCACATGTAGTCATGAGCACATACATAGGCCATGCCCACATATGTAAATGGTGTTCAAACTACACACGTGATTTATCGCCACGAAGGTCAGAGCAAGAGCAATTATTCTCTCACTAGACCTGCTCTGTAACTTTACACTGCTAACCTGTAGAAATTTTTAAAGCATCACCCATGGAAATTTTTAAGTACCGCAGTATCTATTTACTCACCGTAACATCCTCTTTCATATTTTACAAATAAATTGAGGTATATATTGTTTCTTTTGTTTTTTTTAATCAGTGTATTTAATCACAAGTCCTTTATTAAAAGAAAAAACTAAAAGAATGTCCCCTGCAGTAGATCCAACGTCAATCACAATGCCCGCCGCTGCCCACCACCGCCGTCTGCTTCTGAGGTGGCTTGACAGTTCTTAAATATGTAAGGGGCTGGGCCACCTGGGACATCACCCGAGTGACCCTGCCCCATGTGACCTCATTGAGGTCACCTGGGGTGGGGTCACATGCGTGATGTCCCCAGGTGGCCCCACCCATTACATATTTAAGAACTGTCAAACCACCGGAGCAGGCAGACAGCTGGAAATCATTGTCGGGAGCAGAGCTTTTTTTTTCGGGTTTGCGACAGCGGCGGTGACGGCGGGCATCGTGATTGACATTTGGATTTACTGCGGGGGACATTCTGTTAGTTTTTTCTTTTAAAAAAGGACTTGTCAAAGACTGTGTCCTGTCTTTTTTCACACACTTTTTTTTTTGTGAATGAGTAGGGGTACTCCATACTCATTTACATGGGGGGGCGGGATCTGGGGGCCCCCTTGTTTACAGATTCCGATAAGCCCCCTGCCCGCAGACCCCCACAACCACCGGCCAGGGTTGTGGGTAAGAGACCCTTGTCTCCATCAACAAGGTGCTTTGGGGGGGAGCCCCCCTGCCCCAAAGCACCCCCCCATGTGGCCTATGGTTCAGGAGGGGGGGGAGTGCTCGTTCGTCCCCCCCCTTTCCTGACCTTCCGGGCTGCATGCTCAGACAAGGGTCTGGTATGAATCTTGGGGGGGTAGCCCACACCATTTTTTATTTCAAATTTTGGCGTGGGAGTTCCCCTCAAAATCCATACCAGACCCGAAGGGCTGGATGGGAGGGGGGACCCCAAGCCGTTGTTTTATTTATTATGGTGACGTTTTTTAAATGTAATTACCGCGCTTTTTTTCTTCACTATAGCTCAGAAATTCAGCTGTCACTTTCCCCCCAGCTAAAAGAAAGAAAGTTTTTCCTTTTAGTTTATTTCCCTGAGTTAAGAGAAATAATGTTTCCTTTTAGTTTCTTAAAAGAAACAAAGTTTCTGTTAACTCCGAAAGTGACAGCTAATTCTGTGAGCTATAGTGAAGGAAAAAAAAAAGCCGGCAATTGCATTTAAAAATCAGCACTGACATACACTTCGTATTGCAGAAAAATTTGTAAACGGAGGCATTATTTTCAATGGATTTTCATTCGTAAACTGAAAATTACGTTAACTGAGGCATTTGTAAACCGAGGTATTACTGTATATGGGGGGAAGGGGGGTGTGGTATAGTACAGTAGAGGTGTATATAAGGGGTATGGTGGAAGAGTATATAGGGGGTATGGTATGGTACAGTAGAAGAGTATATAGGGGGTATGGTACAGTATGGTAGGGCAGTATATAGAGGGTATGGCATAGTACAGTATGATATATGAGTATATGGGGGTATGGTACGGTACATATATAGGTGGTATGGTACGGTACAATAAAGGAATATATAGGGGGTATGGTACAGTACAGTAAAGGAGTATATAGGGGGTATGGTACAGAAGTATAAGGGGGTATGGTACAGTAAGGTAGAGGAGTATATAGGGGGTAGGGTACGGTAGAGTATATAGGGAGTATGGTACAGTAGAGGAGTATATAGGAGGTATGGTAGAGGAGTATATAGGGGGTAAGGTAAAAAAACGGTAGAGGAGTATATGGGAGGAATGGTATAGTATGATAGAGGAGTATATAGGGGTATAGTACGGTACGGTAGAGGAGTATATAGGGAGTACGGTACAATAGAGAAGTATGTAGGGGTATGGTATAGTACGGTAGAGTCGTATATAGGGAGTATGGCATAGTACAGTAAGGTAGAGGAGTATATAGGGGGTATGGTACGGTAGAGTATATAGAGGTACAGTATGGTAGAGGAGTATATAGGAGGTATGGCATAGTACAGTAAGGTAGAGAAGTATATAGGGGGTACGGTATGGCAGAGTATATAGGGGTACAGCAGAGGAGTATATAGGGGTACAGTATGGCAGAGGAGTATATAGGGGGTACAGCAGAGGATTATATAGGGGGTACGGTACGGCAGTGGAGTATATAGGGGTACGGTAGAGGGGTATTGTATAGGGGTATATAGGGGGTACGGTATGGCAGAGAAGTATATAGGGGGTACGGCAGAGGAGTATATAGGGGTACAGTAGAGGACTATGTAGGGGGTACGGTACGGCAGAGGAGTATATAGGGGGTACGTTAGAGGGGTATATAGGGGGTATGGCAGAGGAGTGTATAGGGGCTACGGTATAGCAGAGGAGTATATAGGGGTACGGTAGAGGAGTATGTAGAGGGTACGGTACGAGAGAGTATATAGGGGTACGGCAGAGGAGTATATAGGGGTACGGTAGAGGGGTATATAGGGGGGTTGGTAGAGTGGTATATAGAGGGTACGGTAAAGGGGTATATAGGGGGTATGGCAGGAGTATATAGGGTACGGTATGGCAGAGGAGTATATAGTGGTATGGTAGAGGAGTATATAGGGAGTTTGGTACGGCAAAGGGGTATAGAGGGGGGACGTTACGGCAGAGGGGTATATAGGGGGGCAGTACGGCAGAGGGGTTATAGAGGGGGGACGGTACGGCAGAGAGGCATATAGAGGGGACAGCAGAGGGGTATATGGGGGGAACGGTACGGCAGAGGAGTATATAGGGGGTATGGTACAGTAGAGGAGTATATGGGGGTATGGTACAGTAGAGGAGTATATGGGGGTAGGGTACAGTAGAGGAGTATATAGGGGGGACGGTACGGCAGAGAAGTATATAGGGGGTACGGTAGAGGAGTATATGAGGGTATGGTACGATAGAGGAGTATATGGGGGTAGGGTACAGTAGAGGAGTATATGGGAGGTACGGTAGAGGAGTATATAGGGGGGATGGTAGAGGAGTATATGGGGGTAGGGTACGGTAGAGGAGTATATAGGGGGGATGGTAGAGGAGTATATGGGGGGTAGGGTACGGTAGAGGAGTATATGGGGGCAGGGTACGGTAGAGGAGTATATGGGGGGTACCGTAGAGGAGTATATAGGGGGGAGGTAAAGGAGTATATAGGGGGACGGTACGGCAGAGAAGTATATAGGGGGTACGGTAGAGGAGTATAAAGGGGAGACGGTAGAGAGAAATATATAGGGGGAACGGTAGAGGAGTACATAGGGGGTACGGTAGAGGAGTATATAGGTGGTCCGGTCCGATAGAGGAGTATATAGGGGGTCCGGTCCTTTAGAGGAGTATATATGGGGTCCGGTCCGGTAGAGGAGTACATAGGGATCCAGTCCGGTAGAGGAGTACATATGGGGTCCGGTCCGGTTGAGGAGTACATATGGGATCCGGTCCGGTAGAGGAGTACATAGGGGGTTCGGTAGAAGAGTACATAGGGGGTCCGATCCGGTAGAGGAGTATATAGGGGGTCCGGTAGAGGAGTATATAGAGGGTCCGGTCCGGTAGAGGAGTACATAGAGGGTCCGGTCCGGTAGAGGAGTACATAGGGGGTCCGGTCCGGTAGAGGAGTACATAGGGGGTCCGGTCCGGTAGAGGAGTACATAGAGGGTCCGGTCCGGTAGAGGAGTACATGGGGGGGACGGTATCACATAGTGTAGTAGAATGGACCGGCGCTGTCCATGGTGTGTGGTGCTGAACAGCGGAGTACGGGGAGCGCAGTACACTCGGTGGTGCTGTGTGTGTGGGGGGTGGTAGTGGGGGTGGAGGGGACCTTGTCCGGACAATGTTAGCGGGGCCGGGTACACTGCCGGAACGAATTTCGGTGCTTTTGGGGGCCCCAGCACTGCGCATGACACTGCGGCTGTCCTTTGGCCTGGCCCCACCCCCTTCTCGCTGAGTGGCGCCTCCCCTGACCAATCTGCGCCTCCCCCAGAGTGGGGCCGGCCAATGGGCGCGGTGAGGGGGCGGGTGCTGCCGCTATAGTCGGTGTCCGGTGCGGGCAGAGAGGAGATGGAGATCGGAGGGGGATGACACGGCGGGGAGGATGAGGCTCCAGAGCGACCATCGTACGATCTACTATGATCCGCTATGTGCGACATTTCATCGCCGTCATCTTCGCCGTGTGCGCCCCTCCCCGGGCTCAAGGTGAGACCGACTGACCGGAGCTGCCTGTCCTACCAACTACTGCCTGCTACACTGGGGAGGACTACCCTCCACCCCCGCCCGACTGTCCCCCCCAAACTGACCTGACCCAAAGTGTCCCCGATCCCCCCCCTCCTCCTCATCTCTCTCTGACCCCTGTCTATATCCCAATACTCCACTGCACCCCTTCCGTCTGCCCTCTAATACCCCAGTACCCCCTTCCTATCTGTACTCCAACCCCCCATAAATTATTGCTGCTGTCTGCCCTAATACCCCAGTACCCTCTTCCTCTCCTCTATTACCCCAGTAGCCCCTTCACTGTCTGTACTGTAGTACCCCCCCTTCCTGTCTGAACCTAGTATCTTAGCACACCCCCCTGTCTGTCCTCTAATACCTCTGACCCCCTTCACACCGTTGACTCCTAACACCCCATTATTCCCTCCTCTCTGCCCCCTCCTTCCCATTTGTCCTCTAATACCCCAGTACCCCCTTCATGTCTGGCCATAACCCAGTACTCCTTCCCTCACATGTCTGGATCCAACCACCTCTCTCTTCCCTCCATTTTCTGTCTTCTAATACCCAAATACTCCCCCCTGTCTTCTCTAATACCCCAGTACCCCTTCCTCCTGTCTGCCCTCTAATCCTCCAGCATCCCCTCCCTCTGCTGTCTGTCCTCTAATACCCCAGTACCTCCTCCTGTCTGCCCTCTAATCCTCCAGAATCCTCCCCCTCTGCTGTCTGTCCTGTAATACCCCAGTACCTCCTCCTGACTGCCCTCTAATCCTCCAGCATCCCCTCCCTCTGCTGTCAGTCCTCTAATACCCCATTACCCCCTTCCTCCTGACTGCCCTCTAATCCTCCAGAATCCTCCCCTCTGCTGTCTGTCCTCTAATACCCCAGTACCTCCTCCTGTCTGTCCTCTAATCCTCCAGAATCCTCCCCTCAGCTGTCTGTCCTCTAATACCCCAGTACCTCCTCCTGTCTCCCCTCTAATCCTCCCATCCCCTCCCTCTGCTGTCTGTCCTCTAATACCCCAGTACCCCCTTCCTCCTGTCTGCCCTCTAATCCTCCAGCATACCCTCCCTCTGCTGTCAGTTCTCTAATACTCCGGTACCTCTTCCTGTCTGCCCTATAATCCTCCAGCATCTCCTCCCTCTGCTGTCTGTCCTCTAATACCCCACACCTCCTCCTGTCTGCCCTTTTCAGCTACCTAGAACTCCTCTCCTGCTTCCTGACCTTCCACTCCATCCCTCATTTCCAATACCCCAGTACCCCCATTACTCCTGTCCACCCTCCCATGTCTGTACTCAACCCCCCCCCCCCAATCCATTTTCTGACTTTTAATACCCCAGTGTTTTAATACTCCTGTCTGCCCGAATACCCCCCAGTACTCCCTGCAATACCCCAGAACTCCCCTTCCTCCTGTCTGCCCTTTTAGGCCCCAGTATCTCCCTCCCCCTTTTTGCTTTGTAATACCCATGTACCCCCTCCTGTCTGCCCCATTCAGTTACATAGAACTCCTCTCCTTCTCCCTGACCTGCCACCCCCATCCTTCACCTCTTCTGTACTTATACCCAAAATCTACCCCTCGCTGTCCTGCCACTAATTGCAACTTGCAATGGGATTTTCTCATTGGTCATTTGATGGGGCAGTAGGATTGTTTCTCCCTTAACTGGATGGGGCAGTAGAATTCTCTCTCCTCACTATATGGGGCAATAGGATTATCTCTGTTTATTGGCTGGGAAAGTAGTATCATCTGTCTGATCATTGGCTTGGGCAGTAGGATTATCTCTCCTTATTGGATGGGGCAATAGGATCATCTCTCTTTATTGGATGGGGCAATAGGATCATCTCTCTTTATTGGCTTATCTCATTGACCATTAGATGGGGCAGTAGGATTGTCTTTCTTCTTTGGTTGGGACAATAGGATGACCTTTTCTCATTGCTTGGGGCAGTTGGGTTATCTCTCCCATCACTAATTGGGGGGAGTAGGAATATATCTCCTTATTGGATTATCTCTTTGACCATTAGATAGGGCAGTAAGGTTATCTCTGTGATCGCTGGTTGGAACAGTTGGGTTATCTCTGCGATTGCTGGTTGGGACAGTCGGGTTATCTCTCTGATCGCTGGTTGGGACAGTCGGGTTTTCGCTCCGTTCGCAGGCTGGGACAGTCGGGTTATCTCTGCGATCGCTGGTTGGGACAGTCGGGTTATCTCCGATCGCTGGCTGAGACAGTCGGGTTATCTCGCCGATCGCTGGTTGGGACAGTCGGGTTATCTCGCCGATCGCTGGCTGGGACAGTCGGGTTATCTCTCCGATCGCTGGCTGGGACAGTCGGGTTATCTCTCCGATCGCTGGCTGGGACAGTCGGGTTATGTCTCCGACGGCTGGTTGGGACACTAGGGTTATGTCTCCGACGGCTGGTTGGGACACTAGGGTTATGTCTCCGACGGCTGGTTGGGACACTAGGGTTATCTCTCTGATGGCTGGTTGGGACACTAAGGTTAGCTCTCTGATGGCTGGTTGGGACACTAGGGTTAGCTCTCTGATGGCTGGTTGGGACACTAGGGTTAGCTCTCTGATGGCTGGTTGGGACACTAGGGTTAGCTCTCTGATGGCTGGTTGGGACACTAGGGTTAGCTCTCTGATCTCCGGTTGGGACACTAGGGTTAGCTCTCTGATCGCTGGTTGGGATACTAGGGTTATCGCTATGATGGCTGGTTGGGACACTAGGGTTATCGCTATGATGGCTGGTTGGGACACTAGGGTTATCACTCTGATCGCTGGTTGGGACGCTAGGGTTATCACTCTGATTGCTGGTTGGGACGCTAGGGTTATCTCTGATCGCTGGTTGGGACACTAGGGTTAGCTCTCTGATGGCTGGTTGGGACACTAGGGTTAGCTCTCTGATGGCTGATGGCTCTGATGGGTTGGGACACTAGGGTTAGCTCTCTGATGGCTGGTTGGGACACTAGGGTTAGCTCTCTGATGGCTGGTTGGGACACTAGGGTTAGCTCTCTGATGGCTGGTTGGGACACTAGGGTTAGCTCTCTGATGGCTGGTTGGGGGACACTAGGGTTAGCTCTCTCTGGCTGGTTGGGACACTAGGGTTAGCTCTCTGATGGCTGGTTGGGACACTAGGGTTAGCTCTCTGATGGCTGGTTGGGACACTAGGGTTAGCTCTCTGATGAGGTTCGCACACTAGGGTTAGCTCTCTGATCGCTGGTTAGGACACTAGGGTTAGCTCTCTGATCGTTGGATGGGACACTAGGGTTATCCCTCTGTTCGCTAGTTAGATTAGATTATGTCCATATAGGTTTCCTGGGTACTTAGAGGTGCCACACACTCTTGTGGGATGTTGTCCGTTGCAGGACATCCCATGTCCAGGACATCCCATGTCCAGGTGTTGGCACTTCCTAACTTGCAGCAGCTGTTGGCATTAGCAGCACCGCAGTGGAGTCTGTCTTGGCATCATAGTTGTGTGCAGGCTAGGCCTTGGCAGAGGCACAGAGAGGGCAGAGCAGGGACACAGAGTAAATGAGGTCACTTTATCTGTGATTTCCAGGAGGAGAAATGTCCCTTTATGCTCTGTGACCCCGCCATGTCCTCTCCTGCACTCCTGTGTCTGACATCCTAGATATTTGATGGAGTGTGACGGGCGATGAGGAAAGGGTTAATGGATGGCTGCTGCAGACTGATGGTGAGCTGAGTGTCCATGCAGCAGGGATGGTGAAGGACTCTGACCAGGAGGGCTGTGGGGTGCTGACAGGCTCCACGTTTTTATCTTGCCACATCTCATTAGTGTGAGTCAGTGTCACAAGTCGTGTAGAGGTGCAAGAGGGAGATGACGGTCGGAGCGCGGAGGCTCTGGATGATGTCATCTGTAATTCATGAATTCATTGCCATGTGACAGGCAGCTTGTCCCGGGTGGTTTTGGGTGGAGTTCTGAAAGGATAAACCGATATTGCAGAGTGTATGATGAATCTATTCATTACAGGGGGATCCGGTCATGTCACTAGATGTGTGTCAACGAAAGTTGTCATGACTGGCTTGCTGAGGAGACATCACCTGGAAGCAGCGTGTATTCCTGGGAACCTTCTGGAGCTTAACCCTTCCTCTGCCAGCTCCTCTGCGCCTCTCACCAGGCTGCAGTAGTCTGTTGTGTTTCCAGCAGCAAAGGGGTTAATTCATCTTGTGCTCTGATTTAAAGGCCGCTGATTGATGACAGCTTGAAGTTTCCACCAGTAATTGCAGAAATGATCTTTGATGAGCGTGGGATCCCTCTCCTCTCAGTCCTCCGGGCACAGAGACTGTAGTCTGCAGGAAGAGGGGAATACAATTTGTCTGCACTATTGGCAGAGCTGAGAGGAAATGACATTTTCCTGCTGGGGAATTCAGTGATTGGTGGAGCTGCTCACTTTGCCATCACTGATGTGTGATGCGTGGGGGAAGGGGCTTACCACAAATGAATGTTCTGCTCCATATGTTAGGACAAGGCTGATGTGATCCATCTGTGCAGGTAGTGCGATGTCCCCTTTTTACTGCACTGACTGACTGGCGGAAGAATTGTGTGATTGTCCCCCAGAGATGGAGATGGCTCCTGGAACTTTCAATTTCTTTCCATGTGATGCTGAGCAGAGTACATTGTAGTTAATGTGCAGAGTCTGGGATCCCTCCAGATCTCAGGAGACAGCCCACAAGGAACAGGACAGAATGGGCACACCATGCATGCATCTGCACAGGAGCCCTCTGGATTTAGGGGCCCAGATACACAAAATGCAGGTTGGTTGGATGCTGGGACCTCACCTGTGGTCTCCTCATTCCCTGAATATTCACTTCCTGCCATGTTGGCACTGAGACATGCGGAACACTTCTCCCACTTCCTGTGGACGCTCTGGGCAGGAAGTGAAGTATGTTCGCTGCCTGACTCCAGTTATATTTCATGGTGGAGATCCTAGCACACAAAGCACTCCTAACTTGCATCTGTTTATATACAAAGAGT